GAAAACAGAGGATTGAAAAAATAAATAAATGCTACTTCAAAAACGCGTGAACTAACTAAATAAATCTTATTCGGGAATTCTTAAACTTTGTATAAAAACGTAAATTGTTTTGTTATGGTAATATATAAAAATAATAAACATCCAAATTCAACAATCAACAATTATTTTTTTCTTCTTTTTCTTAAAACTTATTTACTAAATTGTGTTGTAAAGTGAAGTTTAAAAAGCTACTTGATGAAAGCGTAGAATGGATGGATATGCTAGTCATTGCTTGTTAAGATAATTATTCACATAAGTATATACACAGTAATTAATTAAATACATTGTGGGAGAAAATATAGAAAAAAGTTCCTAAAAGGCATTCAACCCGTCTAGACCTAAGTGTAATATTAAACCTGCTAGATAGTTATCTTTTTGCCATTGTTTTAGCACGAAACAATCATTTCGCTTGCTTATAAGTTCAAGTTGATAAAGCAAGTCTGAAACTTCATTGTTCCATGATAAAAATATTGAGAAATATCCGGCACAATCATAAATAAAGCTAACAAGTGAAATCTTGTTATATTTACTCAAGTTTAATTTTCAAATTTTTACCCATTTATTTTTTTCGCTGTCAATAAGATCATGTGGAGTTCTTCCTCTAGGTTAGTTAATAGAACTCTGTGGTCTGACCTATTTCCTTGCCATTGTTTAAATAATTTTCATTTCTCGTTTATTTTGTCTTGTACTTCGTTTATCCACCACCTCTCTCTCTTTATTTTCAAACTTCTGAGGTTTTCCAAGTATTTCAATAGCAGTATTTTCTCATAATTAGTAACCATATTCCTCTAAATTGTATTAGGACATCCTTTCATGTTCCAGGTCATTTTTTGTTATTTTACCATTAATTCTTGTTCACCTTTTAACAACTACCATTTGAATTTTTGTAGTCCTATCTGATATTTTGGTTTTGGTTCGCTTTTTTACTTCATAGTCCATCATAAACAACTTACGTTATTGGCTAACAATCTCACTATTACCTTGCAGTCATTACATTAATTTTGTCTTCTTTTATTGTTGTGATACTTTTGTACGTGGTAAGTTGACTTTATCTCTTTTTAAAAAATATCCTTTTTTGGATTTATCTAGTCTCTTCTTCTTCTAGCGCTACCCTCTGTGGGTTTTGACCTGTTCAACAATTGCATTCCATTCCCTTATGCCGTTTTCGATTTTTCTTATAAACCTTAGATCGTTCTTGACAATCTCTAATCAACGCTTTTTAGGGTGACCTCATGGTAAATTTTCGGCTATCCTCCATTCAGTGATATTTTTGGTATTTTCTTCATTGCTTATTCGGAGCCAACAAATTCTATGAGATTCAACAAAATTCAGCAGGGTCCATGTTTCACAACCATCGGTCACAATGGGTTACCCACATATGCTTGAAAATTACCTCCTATTATGACTCTTCTCTATATCTAAGTCTTCTTCTTCTTCTTTTTTATATAGACAAGACTCTGTCTGTTTTTCAATGTGCCTCCAGTAAGTTGTCCTTCCATCGTTTCCGTGGTCTTCCTACTGATCGTCTTCCTATTGGGGAACCGTCTCTTGCCGTCTTTACTACACTATTTGTTGTTATTCGGTTTATATGATCGTTCCATTCTACTCTTCTATTTCTTACTCAGTTCTTGATGTTCTATACCTTGCACTACGTCGTATATCTGTCCGTCTAACTCTCTAATCTATGCCTTCTTAAGATCCACGAAACAGATATGTCGGTTTGCTGTATTCTAATGATTTCTCTTGCACTTGTCAAATTATAAATAAAGCTTCGGTGCATGATCTTCCCAACCTAAAACATTGTTTTTCTTCTGGTAGTGTTATAATTTTATTCAGTTTATTTGTTATCACTTTGGTTGTTAATTTTAGTGTTGTGTTTAATAAATTAATTCCTCTCTAATTTTCCTGGTCCGAGTTGTCTTCCTTTTTTAAAGAGAGGTATTAGGATGCTTGATCTCCATTCTTGAGGAATTCTGTTTTATTCTATTATTTTTTAGATTAGTTTTAATAGTTGTTTGGTCAGATCTGGTCCTCCGTACTTTAGGAGTTCGTTCGGTATTCTGTCCTCTCCTGGTAATTTTCTATTTTTTAATTTCCTTAATACTTCCTTTACCTCTTCTTCCTCAATATTTATTTCTTCGTTTGTTGTCACCTCTGGTGTTGGTGGTTCATTATCGTCACCTTTAGCAAATAGGGATCGAAAGTAGTCTACCCAAGTTTCCTTCTGAATGTGGGTCGTTTTTATTAGTTTGTTCATCTCTTTTCTTTGTCTTTTGATCCTTATTCATATTTCTTTTTGTTGTCCGTAGAAGTCGTGTTCCATATGTTTTGAAAAGCTCTGCCAGTGTCCACTTTTTATTTGTCTAACTAAAATATTCGTTTCATTTCTAATTAGTTTATAGTGGTTGTTAGCCTGTTGTGTTTGTTGTGTTCTGTATTGTAAAAAGGCTTTTTCTTTTCTTCACATTTTGTCTTCACTTTCTCTCTAAGCCATGATGTTTTCTTTTTTGGTATGTTAATGTTCGTTACTTTCCTCTCTCCAAGTGATTCTGTTGCTGCGTTAATTATGTTATTTTTGAGTTTTTCCCAGCTTTCCTTGATGTTATCGTTTTCTAATATTTCATTCCTAGCGATCTTCTCTGATATTCTTTTCTTGTATAAGTATTCTGTGGATTCCGTATTTGGTCCTTCGACTTTAATTTTTGTTTGTATTGGCGCCGCTCTCTTGAATGGGAAGAATATCAAAGTATGTCTCCTAATTGAATCTATGAAGCTTTTTTCTTATTATTACCCAGTCTGAGGAGGAGTAGACATACATACAAACATTTCTTTATCAATTACAAATTTTACTGACATTATTTTATCACTCATTATTACAACTACTACATTATCTGTCATTTCACTATCAGCAATTATAATAACTCCATTCCTAGTGACCCCTTTTTGTATTTTCTACGTCTAGTGACTATTTGACTAGTGACTTTTGCCTTCATTCAAGCTTTACAACTCCTAGGGGATTATAGCTTACGCCATGGCGTTCAAAATCCTGTTCTTGGATGAGTTGGAGTATTCCTCTATGTCATTTATCTCTTGCTGTGTTTCTTTGATGCTGTCGTGACTCTCTCGTGCTCTGAACTTTCCAGTATTTAATATTTATTTTTATTATATCATCTTCTACATCATCCAGCTACATTCTTCCAGGCCTTCTTCTACACCTGGCCCTAGTGGTATGGTTAGTTATCCTCAGCATATCTAAGTGTAGACTACTCGATATATTTTCTCCCTTTAATTCTTCTTAATTTTCGGAATTTGTTATAATTCTTCTTTCTCCCCCTCTTTCTACATTGGGGTCCACTATCGTCCTCATTATTTTTCTTTCAAACGATAGGTTATCTTCCTCTTTCTTGTTAATCGTCATTGTTTCCATCCCATATGTAACAACAGATCCAGCTTGTTCTCTTACTTATAGTCTTGATTCCCAGCGGGTTTCATTCCATGTTTTTTGCCTTTCAAAATTCTTTTCTCTATTATCTTTTTTCCGATTTTCCCTATTGTTAGTCCCAAATAACTAAAGGTGGATGCAGTTTCAACTTTGTGGTTCTGTATTATTATATATTTCTGAGTTGTGTCGTCCTTCCTTATCGTCATATATTTTGTTTTGTGTTGATTTATCTCTAGCCCTATTCTCTTTGTTTCCTTATCTAATTTTTTAATTGCTCTTATAAGTGTCATCTTCGTCTTAGCTATGATTACTAGATCATCCGCATGTGCTATTACTTGAAGTTGATCTATAATAATAATTTTGTTTACGAAGTTTGTACTCCTTATTGTTGCTTCTAATATCAGGTTAAACAATGTTGGGGAGATAGAGTTACCTTGTTTCACGCTTTTGTTTACTTTGATCTCCTTAGAAGTTGTTCTGTTGAAACTTATCTTTGCCATGGTATTCTTTAGACTTACTGTTAGTATACGTCTTAAGTTTTCTGGGAATTAAAGACTCTCTAGCTCTTCCATAATTTTCGTCCGATTGATTGTATCAAAAGCACTTTTGAAATCTAGAAATATTACGTGCATTTCTCTGTTGTATTCTCTCGATTTTCGAATTATTGTATGATTAGTGCATGTATGGAATTAACTGTCAATCTCCCCAGTCTAATATTCTCCTAATATTTGTTCAGCGCATGATTTAAGTCGCATGTTTAGTATGTGTGCTAGAATTATATATTATGTGATAATTAATAGGGTTATTGCTCTCCAATTCTCGCACCCCTCCCGTGTAAATCTCTTTCTCCGTATTTTATTAATTCCACTGCTGTTTCATCTCCTGCTGCTTTTCGATTTGGGAGGTTTTTAATTTTTTTTTTGTTCTTTTTCTGTAAGAATTTCTGCTTCGTCTTTATCTTGTACTATTGGTGCTACTTCTTCATCGCAGTTTTTTTCCGCAGTGAATAGCACCTTTTTCGTAATACTCTTCCCATATTCTGCTTATCTGTTTATCTTCAAATACGGTTTCTCCTTTTTGGTTTTTTAGTCCTCTTGTTTTAATGCTAGACGTCTTTTTTGTAAAAACGTTTCCCTACATACCACAATTTGTATCCTTCACGTAGTTCTTTTGTCCTTTATTAGGACCGGGACATTTTACTCCAGGAGATGCCAATGTTTCAGTATCATTTTTATTACATGGAAGATCTTTTTATTATTATGGGCTGAAAAGGTTCTGGACATTTGATGCCTGCATCATATCCTGCATAATTTAGCCAACCCACCACTCATGCAATCAAAGTGCAGCATTATCCCACATCTGTTAACATTTTTCTGCACCGACCATTATCTCTATTGTAAGAAATGCTATGTAAGCCAATGTATTGATCGGTAAGAGACATGTACTTTATATGGGATACTTAGAAAAAATATAGTAGTCAAATTACAATACTATTTAATGAAGGAATTATTTTTTTTAGAAATAGTAATAGTACCTGCTCTATAACATACTCTTAAGATGAAATCCAAAAGTATACTAGTAACAGGATTTGGACCTTTTGCTGGTCATGCTATAAATGCAAGTTGGCAATCAGTGCAGTTATTGCCGGATGAAGTAAATGGAATAAAAGTTATTAAAAAGGAAGTACCAGTAGAATATGTTTATGTAGAATCAGAGATACCCCAATTGTGGAAAGAACATACGCCTATGGTAAGTGATCAAGATATATATAAAGTAGTGCTAATTATTAAAAACATAATTTTTTATTAGATATAAAGGTTCTTGTATGTGTATGTGTTACTACACATATGAATACAAGAACCTTTAAAAAGTAAATGTGTGTATAGTTGATGTTGATTTGTCGTTAATCAGGCTATGTAGAGTTTAGTTTATATGGTTTTGATTGACTAAAATTATTTTATCTTCGAAAATGTGGTTGTATAGACATTATATAAAACCGTAAAAAAAAGCACGAAACAGGTCAGAATGGAGAAGAATCCTTGAACAGGCCAAGACCCAAAAAGGGTTGTCGAGCCAGTGATGATGATGATGATGATAGACATTATATTGTGTAAATTGAGTCATATAACACTAGCAACAAACCAAGTCAGGAATCGGTAAAATTGAATTAAGAAAATATCATAATAGGATCAATGCAAAAAGATCGTAATAGGACGTTATTTGTTCGGAAAGCTTGGCTATTTTTGTTGAAAATTTGCCTGTATATGTAATCGAGCAGAAGGTACTGGGTTTTTTCTCTGGTGGTGGAAATACTAATTTCAGGGCTTTCTTGTGTAGTTTTTGATTTAACATTTTATTAATTGTTTGTTCGTTGTATCCGTTGTTTACTGGTATTTGCCTAATGATATTTAATTCAGTCTCAAATTGTATTTTGACATCGGAATTTCTGTTAATCTATGTAACATACTATGATAGGCTGCCAGTTTATGTTGTGTTGGATGGGATGATGAATTGTATATAGAGAAAAAACCCAGTACCTTCTGCTCGATTACATATACAGGCAAAATTTCATCAAAAATAGCCAAACACATAGAAAAGAAAGGAATCACACCAGCTTTCCGAACAAATAGCAACCTAGGCAAATATATTAAAAACAACAAGAGATAAAATAAGAAAACACTTATACAGTGGTGTGTACAAACTTAAATGTGGCGACTGTCCAAAAACTTACATCGGTCAAACTGGTAGAAACTTTAATAAACGAATAGCAGAGCATAAAAGGGCTTTCAATAACAGAAAAACAGATTCTACATACGCACTTCACCTTCTAGATCATAATTATTTTTTTAATGACGAATTTAAAATTCTTCACATTCAAAATAAACAAAGGCCTTAAGCCATCTTTGTTAGAATCTATGGAAATTAACAAATTAAAAAACACAGATATAATTCTGATTGACCAACTTGAGACAAACAGTTCTCCGCTCCTCAACCTATTTTATTAGAGACTATAAAGTGTAAACGCGTGCCAAAAATAGATCACTTGAGAAATACAATCAGCCGAAACAGCTGTAGTGATAATAGTTTAAAATTTTGTGGAAGTTTTAAAACAAAGTTTTCAGTGTTTTATTGTTACATAAAATGAATTTCCATCAAGTAACGGTCGAATCCATCATAGTAGTGCTCTATTTCAGTTTTTTGTTTCTCGTTAAACAGTTTCTTTTTATTTTTGTAGAGAACATAGGAAGCTTTTAATGAAATTAAAAAAAAAAACCTCTATTATGTTTAATATTACGTATGAGAAAAAAGGTCTTAGAATAAAAAATTTGAAAAAGTGAGTCCGTCAGAGGGAGAATCCGTAGTCTGATAAAGTTTTAATAAGTTAACAAAGAAATAGTTTGTGAATGGAAGTGTTTTTCTACGTGTCCAGAAATATATGTTGAAGAGAGCTAAGTCGGAGATAAAACTGTAAGTTATTTGCTTTACTAATTTGACACGGTTTTGGGTATCATATGATTATGAATTTTTGGCTGAAGGAGACGAACGATTTCGAGTTTCATTCCGATTGATTTGGGAACAAACTTTTAAAGAAAATTTATTTGCATCAGAGGTATTAGAGTTTTCGTTTTGTTGTACGGATCATTTTTCCATGTAAATTTATAAAAAAAATGTTTACAAGCAAATCATTTCGATAAGTTAATGCGGACTGTTTTGTAAAACGAGAGAATGAATGAGATGGAGCCGCCAAAGTATATTTATAACCAAAGAATAGATGGAGTGAGAAGGGGAGGCAGACCCAGAGCACGATTTAAGGATTAGGTGGAGGAAGACTTGAGAATGTTGGGAGTACGGAACTGGAAAGCCAAGGTGACGAATAGGAGAGAATGGAGACTTATCCTTGAGCAGGCCAAGATCCTCCATGATCCACCATAAAAATATAACGGTCATAAAAGGGGTTTATAGAGATCTGATCAGATGAAAATTCGGAATATCTAATTTTTTAGATATTCCGAAATTAAATTTTAAATATTCCTAATATCTAATAGAAGAAATGAAAGTATAGATATGAAAAGAAGAATTCAAGCGAGAAATACAGCGAAAAAAACAATGTTTAGAGATACGAAGATAAGCAGAAACACAAAAATGAAAATCTACAAAACGACCATAACACCAATAGTAGTGTTTGCTAAAGAAACATTTGCATTAACAGCAAAAGAAGAAGAGCACTTGAACATTTTTGAGAGGAAGATTATGAGAAAAATACTGGGATCAAAGAGGGAAAACGTAGAGGATGCTAGACAATGGATAAATCACGAAATACAAAAATGTTCAAGAGAACATAGTTAGAGCAATAAAAGCACAAAGAATTAGATGGTATGGACACATAATGAAAAGAGGGAAGAGCAATCCGTTAAGAATTATTAATAACGGAATTTATACCACCAGGTAAAAGAACCAAAGGTAGACCTAAACTGAAATGTAGACAACAAGTGGAAGAAGACTTAAGGCGTATGGAAATTAGAAATATAGAAAGGGCAATCAAAGAGAGAGGAGAATGGAGAAAAATAGTGGAAACAGTCTATTTTTTTTTGCATGAGCAAAGCATTACATGTTTTAATAATTTGTGTTTGAGTAGATACATTACATATTTCGGTCTTATTTGTCTATAGTTCAATCCATTATGTTTTGCTCCATACGTTTTGTTTTATTTCTAATTAGCTTCTATGATTCTAAATGCCTAAATTCTAAAAAGATGTAAATTGGAGCTGGAAGGAAAGCTCGAAACTGAAGTGGAAGATCAAGTAAATAGAGCAAACAGATCCGCAGGTTGCCTAAATGAAACAATATGGGAAAATAAAAATATCGGGAAAGAAGCAAAAGGCAGAATTTACAAAACAGTCAGACAAAAATAATGTTAGAAACAGCCGTGATGAAAAATTGATGGTAAGACACGATGGAACAGAGCTAGAAGTACCTACAGATATACGACGTAGAAGCAAGGTGGAAAACATCAATCTCTGGGTACGAAATAGAAGAGTACAATGTAACGATCATATAAGCTGAATTACAACAAATAGAGTAATAAAGACGACAAGAGACGGTTCCCCAATAGGAAGACGATCAGTAGGAAGACCACGAAAACGACGGAACGACAATTTACTGGAGGCACATTGAAAAACAGACAGAGTCATGTTTATATAAAAAGAAGAAGAAGAAGAAGATTCTAAACGTAGTCTAGAAATAAGGTTTTATTAAAACACGTTTACCCTGAGAAGTTTAATTTATGAAATTATAATTTATTTTTGTATCTCTTTGATAATTAAAGTAAAATTTGGTTACCATAATAATATATACCTGTTTACATATAAAATTGTATATTAATTCTTTTTCTTTATTCAGTTAGTGGTACATGTTGGAGTTTCATCTGAAGCAACAAAAATAACAATAGAAAAGTGTGCAAATCGAGATGGTTACAATATATGTGATAGTGCTGGATTGATTCATCCCTCAGGATTAGCATGTACAGATGGAAGCGACTGTATTTTTACGGAAATAGACATTGAAGCTGTCCAAAATAGTGTTAATAATACTGGAAAACTGCAATCTTGTGTTTCAGATAATGCAGGAAGGTATGAAAATTAATAATTTCAGTCAAGAACAAATTGCTCTTTCGAAAAGGGCATAAGTCATACTTTTTTAAATATCACTGTTTGATGCGATTTTATTTTTGAATTAATGGAGTTATGTCCTTTTTGAAATGACTGTTTTAGTTTCGAAACCGAAATTTGCCACTCCCAGCTTCACACACTTAACACTTTATTTTTGAAAAAGGCTTTTAAATCAATTGCCACACTCCGATATTCGACCTCTGATTCGATGTTGCCGAAAGCATCGCGAGCACTTACATCTGCTAATTCGTTGCCTTCTATACCAGTGTGGGAACGTGGGAAGGTATCCACAAGAAGTTTACTGTTCCAAGTTTTTCTTGGGCTTTCTGAAGTTTCAATTTTATCATTTTCTCTACGGGATATTTCGTGTAGAGAGTTTTCATGACTTCAGTTGCACTGAGGCAATCAGAAAGAATGACACTATAGAGATGTTTTTAATTATTGTAAGGCTTTGAACAATGCAAAAAGTTCTGATGAGTATATGGTAGAATAAGTGGGAAGGTCAAATTTTAAGGAAACGTCTGATGTAATAATAGCTGCACAAACTCCCTGTTCGATTTTTGATGCATCGGTAAATATTTTAAACCAGTCTTTGTACTGCTGGTTCAAGATAAGGTTCAGTTCTGCTTTAAAGATTGCTGGATTTGTTTGATGCTTAATATTTAAGCTTAATGATATATTGATTTTCGGTTCCCCAATAGTCCATGGATGCCAGTTGTCAAAGTGTACAGGAAAAACTTTTGGAAATTGAATATTTAATTCAGAACAGTACAATCGAATTCTTTCATAGTAAGGTTTTGGGGTATGAGACCTATCATTAAAGTGGTTCAAGTACTTATGGTTGAAGATATTGTCATACAAAAGTTTTGTTGGATCTGAGGCAAGAGAAGTTAAGTGACATAGTGTTGAATATATTCTTTGGTAAAATAGAGATGGTTCACCGGCTTCAATAAGTAAGCTTTTGATAGAAATTGTCCGGAATGTTCCAAGAGCAATTCTAATGCCAAGATTGTGTACATTTTCAAGCTTTTTAACTGTTGTTGTTGAGGCTGAGGCATAAGCAATTGACCCGTAATATATGATAGATCATATTAACGTTCGATATACTCTCAATATCATTGTTTCATTTGATACCCAATTTCTATTAAATAAAGTGTTTTTAATAAGCTTAGTTTTTTATGACATTCGGATACAGTCGGTTTTATATGCTCTTGCCACGACAGTTTTTGATCAAAGCACATGCCCAGAAATTTGCGGATGGTTTAAATGAAGTTATACAACTTCAATGTTGAATATACTTGTGGAGGTTTTTTGGTGAAGAATACTGCCGAAAATTCGAAACCAGTACTGGTTGACTATTCTTCTAACTGGATAAGCATTGATTGCAATGTCTCTATTATTAATTTAATATTTTTACCTTTGATGTACATAACAAAATCTTCTGCGAATAATCGAGCTTTTAGGGGTTTTGGTAGATTATGATGATAATATTTATTACTACTAGAAACAACGTAGGACTAAGTACTGAGTCTTGTGGAGTTCCATTTTCTTCAGCATGTTCCTTAGAGTAGGAATGGTGTACCCTTACTAAAATGATCTATTGTGTAAAATATTTTTCATAAAATTAAGGCAGTTTCACAACAGCATTTAACCCAACATATGTTAAATGCTCATTTTAAATAAAAAAAGAAGTAGGTAAAGGAAGCATTAGGAAATTAAAAAATAGAAAATCACCAGGAGAGGACAGAATCCCGAACGAACTTCTAAAGTACAGAGGACCAGATCTGACCAAACAACTATTAAAACTAATTAAAAAAATAATAGACCAAAACGTAATCCTCCAAGAATGGAGATCAAGCACCCTAATACCTCTTTTCAAAAAGGGAGACAAATCGGACCCGGAAAATTACAGAGGAATTAGTTTATTAAACACAACACTAAAATTAACAACCAAAGTGTTAACAAATAAATTGAATAAAATTATAACACTAGCAGAAAAACAACATGGTTTTAGGTCAGGAAGATCATCAACCTACGCTATATTTATAATGAGCCAAGTGCAAGAGAAATCATTAGAATACAACAAACTGGCATATCTATGTTTCGTGGACCTTACAAAGACGTTTGTCCGGTTCAAATTAAAAGATGTTATCCACTTACTGTACTCAATAGAGATACCTTTAGGAATAATCAAAACGATCGAAAATATCTACCAAAATAACACAATAAAAGTATATGTAGAAGAACTAACCGACCCTATTAAACCTGGCAATGGAATAAGACAGGGAGATTCCCTGAGTCCTCTATAGTTCAACTTTATTATGGACGAAATAAGAAAAAAAAAGTAAGAACTAAAAAAAAGGATACCAAATGGGAGAAATACAACTTAAAATAATCTGCTATGCAGACGACGCAATACTACTCTCTCAAAGTAAAGATGATTTACAACGTATGCGGCACCAATTTATTATATCCGTCAGAAAATTTGACATGTTAATTTCCCCAAAAAAGACAAAATGCATGGAAGGTCAGATAATAGAACAAGTGATAGAGTTTAAATATCTAGGCATCACATTATCTAGCTACGGAAAGCTCGAAACCGAAGTGGAAGATTTAGTGAATAGAGCAAACAGAGCCGCAGGTGCCTAAATGAAATAATATGGAGAAATAAAAATATTGGGAAAGAAACGAAAGGCAGAATTTACAAAATAGTCATCAGACCAATAATGACATACGCGGCAGAAACAAGACCTGACACAGAGAGGATAAAAAGGATGTTAGAAACAGCAGAGATGAAAACACTTGGAAAAATTGATGATAAAGCACTATGGGACAGAGCTAGAAGTACAGATATACGACTTAGATGCGAGGTGGAGAACATCAAAAACTGGGTAAGAAATAGAAGAGTAAACGACCGTCTAAGCCGAATGACAACAAATAGAGTAGTAAAGATGACAAGAGACGGTTCCCCAATAGGAAGACGATCAGTAGGAAGACCACGAAAACGATGGAATGACAACTTACCTGAGGCACATTGAAAAACAGACAGATGTGGTCGAAATCCGTTTTGTACCGATAATAAGTGATTTGAATTGTTTATCATCCACATCAGTCTATGGTTTACCATTTTCTCCAATAACTTGCTTGTAGAACATATTAGGCTAATTGACCTATGAGAGTCAGATTCAAGACTTGGTTTTTGTTATTTATTGTTTACCCAAATTAAGTTGATGATCTGGAGTAGGTATAATTTAGTAGAAAGGGAACGATGTTTTAAAAATATTAGTGGTATTTCATCAATATAAGTGAATTGTCTTCTGTCTCGCTTTCTATCAGATTTGCACTTTCAGGTTGTATCTTATAATTAAGAAAGGTATCACTGTAGTTTTTGTTAGAAGACATATTATTAAATGTTTTAGTCAATTCATTAGCTATTTCAAGAAAACAGTTAGAAATGTCATTCATCATCATCATTGGCTTTTACAACTCTTCGTGAGTTTTTGCCGCGTTTACTATTGCCTTCCATTGATTCCGATCCTGTGCTATTATTTCCCATGGCCTTACTTCCATCTTCTCGAGGTCTTCCCTGACAGCGTCTTTCCACCTTTTTCTAGGCCTTCCTGTTGATCTTTTACCATCTGGTCTTTCCCAAAATACATTGCTAATCAGTCTGTCGTCATCACTCCGTACCACGTGGCCTGCCCATCTTAATCTATTGGCTTTTATGTATCTTACGATGTTTCCTTTCCCGAAGAGAGTCTCTATTTCATTGTTGTATCTGCTCCTCCATTCATTTGTCACGCTGTCCCTGCAAGGACCATATATAATTCGCAGGATTTTGCGTTCCCATACTAATAGCTTATTGATTTCTTTCTTTCTCAATGTCCATGTTTCACTTCCATATGTCACTGCTGGTCGTATTATGGTTTTGTACATTTGGATTTTGGCACGCCTTGAGAGAAGCTTTGACCTCATTAGATGTTGAATGGCAAAGAATGATTTATTTCCCGCCAGTATTCGTATTTCAACCTCCCGTTCTCCTGTGTTTTCACTGGTAATTGTTGCTCCTAGGTATTTGAATTCTTTGACCACCTCAAAATTATGATCGTTTATGGTAATGTTTTGTCTTATTCGCTGTCGTTCCTTTTTTGATACGACCATGTATTTAGTTTTTTCTTCGTTTATTTTCAGGCCTACGCTTAGTGTTGCTTCTTCAAAGTTCGATACTATATCCTTAACTTCCAGTGTTGTCTGTGCTACTGCATCTACATCATCTGCAAATGCGAGAATAATCTTTGCTCCTCTGGCAGTTATGTCTGGTTTGACTCTGGTATAGATTTTTCGCATTGCGTATTCCAATGCTAGGTTAAATAGTAATGGAGACAGCGGGTCTCCCTGTCTGAGCCCGGTGCTTATGCCGAAAGCCTTTGAATTTTTGCCTCCTATTCTAATTTGTGCAAAGGAATTGTTGACACACATTCGCGCAATCATGGTCAGCTTCTTTGGTACGCCTAACTCCATCATTGCACTCCACAGTTTTAAGCGATCTATGGAATCATATGCTTGTTTGAAATCTATGAAGATCTGGTGTACTTCTTTATTATATTCCCAATACTTTTCTAGCATTTGTCTGATAGTAAATATTTGGTCGATTGTTGATCTTCCAGGCCTAAAGCCGCATTGGTAATCGCCAATAATTTCCTCTGTATATGGCAGTAATCGTTTTAGTACAACTGAAGCTAATATCTTATATGTAGTACCGGTTAGTGAGATTCCTCTGTAGTTGCCACATGTATCCTTTCTGCCTTTTTTATGTATTGGCACGATAATACAGCCACTCCATTCTTTTGGCATTATTTCTTGTTCCCAGGCTTCTTTCATTAATTGGTGTATTTTAGTTCTAAGTTCATGCCCTCCTTTTTTAATCAGTTCTGCATCAATATTGTCTAGTCCCGGGGATTTGTCATTTTTTAGGGTTTCTATCGCCGTGATAATTTCTTCCAGGCTTGGCGGGGGTACTTCTATCTCGGCCGTTTGGTACTCACAATTTGCTTTATTTCCATCCGCGTCTACCTGAACATTTAGCAGACTTTCAAAGTATTCAGCCCATCTTTCGATTATTTTATTTTCAGCTGTAATCATTTGCTCATTTTTGTCTCTCACAAAGTTCGGTGTTCTTATATATGCACCTTTCTTATGTTGTCTTACTTCTTTGTAGAATTTTTTATTTTGCTTGCTTCTGTGTTCACGTTCTACTTTTTCAATTTGTTGTTGTAAATGTTGTCTCTTTTTTCTCCTTACTGTTCTTCTGGCTAAGGCTCTCTCTCTATTATATTGTTGACGTTTTTCATCCGTCGGGTTTGCTAGGTAGTCGATTCTTCTTTTGTTTGCTTCTTTTAAGGTATCCTCGCATTCTTCATCAAACCATTTTTTTCTTTTTGCTTTTCTCTTCCGACCTATACACTTCTCTGCTGTTTCTGTAATGATCGTTTTAATGGAGTGCCATTTCTGGTCTATATTTTCTCTTTCATTTTCTTTCGTTTCCAACACCTGGAATCTGTTTCTCAATTCTAGTTGGTATTGTCTCTTTCCCTCTTCTTCTTCCAATTTAGACACATTCCATCTTTCGATCTTCATCTGTTTGTCTGTTGTTTGTGTTGAGATTCTAGTTCTGAGCTTGGCCTTTACTAGGAAATGGTCTGTATCACTATCTTAGAAATGTCATTGTTTATGTTTAATTTTGAGATTATCGGTGTATACTTTAAGCTAGATATTTTTCCGCAAATCGCCAGGAAATTTTGACATTCCTGTCAAAATTTCTTGAAGAAATAGTCAGGACTTCCTTACTGTAAGGAAATGATATTTCCGTACAGTTGTTAGTGTTCTACATAAATGATAGAAAACACATTGCTTATAAGGAATTAATTTATATTTTGAAAACATCAAGTCATTTTGAAAACATCAGGAATGGAAATTTCATCATCACTTATCATTTTACTTTCGAGAACACCAGCAATTAAATTTATAAGCGTCAAGTTTGACAATTCAACCTCAATACGTTTCCATAGTAACCCAAGTAATTTTATTAGGAATTTCAAAGCACCATTTATTTGGGAATAAAATTATCGCGTTTTTTTTTTAAATCAATCAATATCTGTCGAATTTTAAACGATTTGCGGAAAAATAGTATGTTTACCTCGTAGGAAAAGCCACATTCCTGGACTCTGTGTTGCTAAGTCTCGGCTTGCCCCTCGACTTAGCAATCTTAACAGTCGTCCAGGAATGTTAAGCTTTTCCTACCCGGTAAACAATTTACTATCTTTAGCCTTTTCCGTACTTGATTCGTAGGAGTTGAAGAATTTATTTCAGAAATATATTTGGACCAGGACAACTTTTTTTAGGTATAAGTTGAGTTCTGGCTTTTTTCAATTTAAAATTGACTTTATTTTCAATAGTTTTGTGCTGCTTTACTTAATCTAATTGCAGTATCACATTCTGAAGTCCACCAGGGTACGGGGTAATGGTTCTTATTAGTTTTATTTCTGTTTTATGATCATTCAGTATCGTCCCTTGAATACAATTAATTTTATTACATAATTATTTAAGCATAATAACTATATATGTACATTTACCTTGATTTTTTCAACAGTATAATTCAACAATGTTTAAATTTATTTTCAGATATCTCTGTGAGTTTATCTACTATACTTCACTAAACGTGGATCCATCTAGGACATTATTTGTTCATGTACCTCCTTTGAACATGCCATATTCTGCCCAGGAATTATCAGATGGATTATTAGAAATTATAAAATGTGCACTGGAACAAATAACTCAGCAAAGAGACAAATGTGAAAGTGCAGTTGCTGTGTGCTAAATTTAATTTGTGTATGATTTGTGCCATGAAACAGGCACTGCATGTTACTGCAAAACTGATCAGTGTAAACTATTTTAATATACTATGTAAGAAAATGTTAGGAATTAAGTATAAAGTTTAAATCAACACTTTTATTTAAACTCCCATACGCAGATATGTTTAAAATGTTTAAACATACAGTATTGTGCGAATTAATATGAACAGAGATCGAAATTTAGTTACATAAGTTGGCACACCTGCTGTGCCTATTCTGTCAACTGTTTTGTCAAAAAAACAACATAACCTCAAAACCTTATTAGTATATATATTGTTCAAAACATGTGCTTTGTGTTTTATATCATTATTATATTTTGTTGTATCTCAAGTTATGTGCAAGTTGGTGTTATTTTCATTGATTTAACTGTGCAATTAGGTTTAACTTTTTAATGTGGATATCACTCCTAGGAAAAGAGAAAGGATCATAACACTTAGTGAGCATACACCAATGACTCAGAGGGACATTGAAAAGGAGTCTTGTGTAAGTTTGGGTGCAGTTAACAAAATAATGTAACAAAAAAAAAGGAAACAGGGTCAGTTGAAGTGCAGCGGAAAGAAAAATGTGGAAGAAGACGGAAGACTACTCCTCGAGATGAAGCCTTTCTTTTGTGCGATAGCAAACATTATCCCAGAAAAACAAGTTGTTATGACCTCCAGCAGGATTTAGAAAAGGCTGGAATAAAAATTCACGACTCAACGGTACGCGGACGTCTCTTAGAAGGAGGGAGAAGAGCCGTGAGACCGCAGAAGTAACAATTTCTGACAGCGCCTATGATGAAAAATAGACTAAATTAGGCAAAAAATACGCATTGGAGTGCAGAAGATGGGAAAAAAGTGTTATTTTTTGATGAGACCCACTTCCTAATGCAGGGCCAGCGATCAAAATTCGTACGAAAGGCAGCCAATGAGTCACTTTCAGCTAGCCATATTAACCAAATAGTTAAAGATCCCACCAAAAAATGTTCTGGGGCTGTTTTTCGTACTCAGAAACTGGCACTCTTATTCTTATTGAAGGTATGATGAACAGTGAAAACTACAAAGTCATGCTAAGGCAACGCTTAGCTATAGAGTTTGACAAAGTACAGGCCGAAGGGACTGCAATTTTTCAACAAGATTCAGCTCCGTGCCATGTATCTAAGGTTATGATGAAACACTTCAAGGATAATAATATTACCCTTCTTGATTGGCCTGGGAATTCACCTGACCTTAATCCTATTGAAAATGTGTGGGCAATATGTAAGGCTAAACTGCAAAAATTTGACTGTACGACAAAAACAAAAATGGTGGAAGCAGTGATTAAGGTGTGGTTTAGAGATGAAACAATCACAAACAATTGCAAAAAACTTGTGGATTCCATGCCTAGAAGACTCCAGGAAGTCATAAAAGTAAAAGGGGGACATATTAAATACCAATTAATGAAAAAAATCTCATGTAAGTGTACCTAAATTTACCTTTGGTCTAAATAAATCATATTTACAAATTAATTCTGTTTGTTCACATTAATTCGCACAATACTGTATGTCTAAAAAGTTTAAACTGATGAACTATCTGTTTTGTATTTTTAAGAATAGATAAAACTTAGTTCTTGTAGTTTTCTGTACCATTCAAACATAAGATAATTTGATTTACCAATTTATTATAGCTATATATTTTTATCAATTCTTTGTTTCTTACTGGAATGTAGTGTTTCGTATATTCAAAGAATTGATTAAAGTATCTTCCTGTAGAACATGGCCTTGTTTATTCTATCATCCCAACTCTTGTGATGCTGATGTCCAGCTGTCATACCCTCATCTGGGGTCTTCCTAGTGGCAGACTAAAGGGCTGGCGGTTTGGCGGCTAGTCCTAAAGGGCTAACGGCTTGGCGGCTAGTCAAGGTCCACGGGACCATAGCACTGGGTCTGAAAAATATATTGATCACTAAAAATACTTTTGTTTTTACTATTCTTTTTTTAATAGCATTGCATTATCTACATATATTATTTAATATCCACGAAATTATAAATAGTTCAAGCGAGTTGACTACCCGAGCCCATTTCAGTAAGCTTGAGATTTGACTTTAAACGCAGTAAGCACACGGACGGTGTATTAATACGAAAAATGGAATGTTTCGGAGTTAGGCAAACTTCGGCCATTAGTGCATTAGAATGTTTTCACATAGGTATCTATAACGTTTCACACTCTGTAAACTGTACACTTTTCTATTAGCGTGTAGTGTACATAGTATAACAAGCCTATCTTTCTTATATTCGTAGATTATGAAAAGGCGTTCGATACTATAGATCATCATAAAATGCTTCGAACATTGTCTGACTGCCGCATTGACTACCGATATATCGCCTTAATTAAAAGTATTTACGAAACTGGTACAGCTTGTGTCCGCCTTCATGAAGATACCAAGAAGTTTAGAATAGAACGTGGAATTAGACAGAGTGATACTATCTCCCCTAAATTGTTTACAGCTGTTCTTGAATATATGTTCAAGCAAATGGAAAGAGAGCATAATATGGGTATTAATATAAATGGAGAAGATCTGAACCACCTAAGATTTGCCGATGACATCGTTTTAATATCTGATAGAGTTAATAAAGCTACAAAAATGCTGCACACGCTCTGTAAAGTGTCAAAAACAATTGGTCTTAAAATTAACACCTCAAAGACAAAATTTATGACCAACCTTGTAGTCAGCGGTAAAATTCTGATTGAGAGCCATAGCATCGACCAAGTAATAGCTTACAAATATCTTGGCCATGAGATGCGCTTAGGCCGAGATAATCAGACAACTGAAATACAAAGAAGGATAGGTCTCACATGGGCTGCCTTTGGTAGATTGAATAACATTTTCAAGTCTAGTATCCCAGTTTGTTTAAAAGGAAAGGTTTTTAACAAGTGCGTTTTACCGGTTCTTACATATGGTGCAGAAACACTGACTCTGACAAAAAGAACAATAGATAAAATAAGAGTTACACAACTCGCTATGGAAAGATCACTATTAGGTATTATCATCAGAGATAAAGTACCAAACCTAGAAATAAGAAGAAGAACAGGAGTCACAGATGCAGTTGAAAAATAGCCATGGCTAAATGGACTTGGGCCGGACATGTTACCAGATTAACGGATGATAGATGGACCAGAAAGATTCTGGACTGGCGACCAAAGCAAGATGCATATTGAAGCAGAGGACGACCACCGACTAGATGGACGGATGATATCAAGCGTATCACCACAAACTGGATGCAAGAAGCTCAAAATAGAAATAGGTGGAAAATTTTACGGGAGGTCTACGTTCAGCAGTGGACAAATATATACTAATTGATGATGATGATAACGTTTTAGTTACGTTTGAAGTGTTCGCTTCAACCCCCTCTGTGGCTCAGTGGTAAGAGCGCCTGCCTTTAAATCTAAAGGTCGTCAGTTCCAATCCCACCTGGGTGGAAATTTTCGTTTATTAAAAAAATTAATAAATGAAAATAATTTCTATCCTTGTGTGATCGGTACACACCGGAGGGACCGCAGACGTTCGGATACAATTAGCGTCTCTTAGCAAAGACAATGACGTCGACTTTGCTAAGTATCAAGACAATTACTCTACAGACACACACACACACACACACACACACACACACACACACACACACACACACACACACACACACTACACCTCAAATTGTAAGATTGGCGAATGGATTTAGTGTCCGCAGTCATTTAAACACAAACAAACAACAACAAGTGTTCGCTTCAACTGTCAAATAAACGTCAAATCGAAAGGCGCATTATTTTGAAGCTCTTACAAAAAATATCAATTTTAAAGGTGTTTTCTTCACTTTTACGGTATCACTTGCAGTGGTAAAGACATATTAAACTAGTATTCTGTAAGAAAGTGTATATTTCGTGTGTAGGTAGTTTAATCTTAAAAAAATCGACATGGAAAAAAATCCACCGAAGCCTCCAGATAGAGGGAAATTTTATATAGAATTTTGAGAAAATAGGATGATGGAATTTGAAGAATTAAAAAAATAGCAACATTACAGTAAATGATAAGGTAACAAACGAATAAAGCCAAAAATAGCACTAACGAGGTAGGTAATCAATTCGATTTTAATAACGATGCAATTTTGACACAATTTAATAAAATAGATAGATCAGGTAATCCAAATTTAAATAAAGTTATAAATTTAAGATTAAATAATGCATATAAATTAGGAGATAATGCACCATATATAGTACATATCTAAAATAAAAACGGTATTATCGGCAAATTACACAAAATAGGCACGGCCCGATTAATTTTACGTATAGTACCTGAAATTGAAAATAATGTCACACAAATTACGGTAGTTGGTAGGAATAAAATTAAGGTAGAACTTAATAATTTTATTAGTGCTAATAAATTAATTGAATCTGATAATTAAAAAAAAAAACAGTACAAGCCATATATTCCAACGTTTTTTGCTCAAAGGAAAGAAGTTATAAAATCTGTAGATAAAGAGATATAAGAAGGTGATTTGTTATCATTAATTCCACCTAGGTTTGGAATGAGGTTTGAAGTCTTACATGTAAAAAGAATGATGGGAAAGTGGTACAAGAAAATGGATCTACTATCTACGTAAAAACTGGAACTGTAATAGTAACGTTTAAAGGTCAGTCTATACCTACCAACGTAGTAATAGAAAAAATGATATACGAGGTTGAAAATTACAGAATGCTACAATGTTTAAAGTGCTTGAGATTTGGGCATATACGTGCTCAATCTAGGGGAAAAGATAGGTGTGAAAGATGCGGTGAAGAACATAATAAATCAAATTGTTCCAATCATAACAATCTATTTTGTGTATTGTGCAAAGAAAAAGAGAGCCCTACTGACAAGGGAGCAAATTGTAAGGAAAGAGAAAAACAGGAGTATTGTCACAGCCATTTGATAGTTATTTTGTTTGTATACTACTTTGAACGTTGAAGTTACAAAATCTCTTATTGACATTCGTCGAAAGCTTTAGCTGTAAAACCTTTTTAAATCATAACAATCTTTCCACTTGTCGGCAATAATTTTTATATTTTATCGCCATCACATCAATTTATTTTGTTTATTTTACCGCGAGAGTGGTGTTATAAAAATTGATGAGATTTTTTCAGTTTTTTAAGACTCTTGGCGCTGAACGGTCGTTATATCCGTAGAATATTTTAATTTTGTGTATGTATGGATTGAGCTTTATAAGTGACAATTTTGTTACATCATTTTTTAAAGCACGCGATATGTTTTGTTGGAAACTGGCAAATATATAGATTTTCAATAATTTTGACGTTTAATTTTTGTAATATACGAACCGTGTATTTTATACGCAAATTCGGGTAGAGTTGCGTTGGTACACACTTGACAAGTATATTAAAAAGATTATGAATACTGAAAATATAACATATTACGAAGCTTATAATAAATATAGAAAATATTATTCAACAGTAAGTAAAGAACAAATCTTGCATCACAAGTAATTTTGGTTCTATCGTATAAGGATTTAATTATTCCCTTTTTTACATGTTCTAATGAAAATTCGTTCTTGGAGGAGAAACATTTGTTAACATCTGTTTTATTAAAAAATGATTATCCTTTATCGTTTATAATTAAGGAATTTTCAACAATCGATCGAATAGAACAGAACAACTTAGAACGAGATCCTACAGCAAACACAAGGAATAATATGAGGAAAATAACAATACCGTACATAAAAGGACTATCAGAAAAACTTAAAAGGATAGGAAATAAATTCAACATTTCAACAACATTCAAAACAACAAACACGTTGAGATCTATTTTGTCCAAAACCAAACCTAACAATGAACAAGAAAGGACAAAGAATTGCATTTATAAAATACCTTGTGAATGCGATCAGTTTTATTTAGGTGAATCATCAAGGCCATTAAATGTTAGAATAAGTGAACATCAATCTTATATTAAAAATAAAGAATTTGATAGATCTCAAATCTGTAAACATGCATGGGATAATGAACATAGGGTTCAATGGAATAATTCAAATGTAGTCCTAAAAGAAACGGATAGTAAAAAAAGAAAAATCAAAGAAGCGGCTCTAATTATGCTAAATGAGGCCAATTGTGTCGCAAATTCCTCGGCAGAATGTAGTAGGATCTGGTTACCAATATTGAAAGAGGAAGTTATTAATAAGAAAATACCAGTATTAGTAAGTCAGTAACATATAGAGGATACATCATTTATGTTTTTTAAATAACGTAACATATAAAATCAGAATTTTGATGTTTGTTGAAGGTAAACTAAATTCACGAACAAATACTTACAATGTCGGGATAGTATTATGAGGTTTTTTCCTGGTTTTCCCTCATAATTTACTATGGAATCACTAACAGGAGAATTTTACTGTCATCATGTCATGTGTTTGTCTTTTTAAAGACGAATTACATGCTATGATTTTTTTCTGACGGATATTCTCAAGTTAAAGTTGATTTCATGTAATCGAATGAACTATCTTATAAGTAAAGTCGTCCCAGGAGCGCAACTCAACAATATTGGCAATATCATTTTAAAGTCGTCTACTTTAAAATGCATAATGTATGTCTGAATTGTCAATATAAATGAGTCAGATAAAATTAAATTATTAGAAGAATTTTTCACTATGTAACAAAAAACAAAATTTGTTTAATTTACTGTTTGTATTTTGAGAACGATTTCCGAAGTGGAAATTGAAACGTCAATAAACGTATTTTTATCTTTAATTGTGGCTTATTCCCAGTTTAATAGTAATTAAAAAGTTATTATTAAAAACTTGTTTTTTTTTTATTTATGATCACAATTATTTTCAAAATTCAGTAACTCTGGATCTAAATCTAAATATCGACGGTCTAGAGCACACTTATTGTAACTCTAAATTTAACGTTTTGTGGATTTTGGTACCAATCAATTTGAATTTCGGCCCTTTTTATAGTGCACAAACGTTGTAACTCCAGATCCCACCAAAATAATAATAATCTAAATTTTAAATTGAGAATTACAGCATTTAGTGATTTTCTAGTGCACATTTGTTGTAAGTTCCATATAATACCTACTTGTCCTCTTCAAAAATCACCTATCTAAATTCACAAATACTGTATCTCCATGTTGTATAAGTATATAAAATATCTGTGTTAGTCAAAATTATATGCTAAACAAAAAGAGAAATCATACGATTTCTACCTGGCGAAATCGAATTCAAATCTCAACCAGTGTGCTCTGTAAAACTTGCAAAGCAAACAGCTTGATGAATAAATCGGCAAGGGAATCTAAGATTGCATTCCAAACAATATTCATCATGGTCAAAATTCGTAGTGAATTCAATTTCTGGTACTCCAAACGAAGTAAAGACAAAACATAATGCCGGTACTAGATTTTGTATCGATACAGAGCAACGACAAGCCGCAGATACGTATTTCGACCTGTTTAGGTCTCCTCAGTACGGTATAGTCACTATTCCGTCTCGAAACAAAATCTATTCCCGTCGTAGACCATAGTTATCAAAAAGAACTATGTACAGACGTAACGATGACTACGTCATCTAAGAACAAAAAGAGAAATCATACGATTTCTACCTGGCGAAATTGAATTCAAATCTCAACCACCGTGCTTTCTAAAACTTTCAAAGCAAACAGCTTGATGAATAAATCGGCAAGGGAATCTAAGATTGCATTCTAAATGCCGTTCATCATGGTTTCATTTAAATTGTTTATACATTCGGGCACAGGTATACTATAATTTTTATTACTACAAAATAATATTAAATATCTATATATCTACTAATAATTATTATCTAATTATAAGTTGTAACAAATTTTATTTTAGTAAACGGGATTCAAACAGTAGCTAGTAGTTTAGCTGTTTTATATAAGATACAATGGTTGTTCTTTAAAATGTAGGGTACACATATTGTATCTCCGGTCAGTTTTTCTTAAATGTTTAAAAAAAGCATATTAATTATTCACAAGTTCCTTTAAAATCAATAAAGATAATAATTATGCCTTGTTTTTCAATCTATATTATGAATTTAAAACATAATTCTACTTTACATAATGTGGACACCTCTCTGAACATTAAATTTGCGATTACCAAAAAATGGGTTTTTGGAAAAACAATAAGTGCACTTTAGACCGACGATATATAAAACAAAATAAATTAAACCAAAAAAAACAACATAGATGACCTGTAGTGTATAGCATTTTTTATATAAAAATTCTTGCACGTCACAATTTATATTAAGTGACGTCACTTATATTTAAAATTTCCAGAAGGTCAACCTTAAGGTCGATTCAGACACATCAGTCACGTCTAGTCACAGTGATTGCGCCGAACCGAACAATCCGTGATACAAAATATTCTTTAATACAAATATAACGCCGGCATTCACACTCATCAGTTGACAAACAGTTTCCCAGCTGTCAGATAGTTGATAGTTCTGTGACTAAATAGGACCGGTTCGGCGCCGAGACTGTGACTGGACTGATGTGTCTGAATTGACCTTTAGAGTTCAAATTTTCCTAACACAGCTAATAATATGAAACATACGGAACTGCTCGATCTTTCATAGGAGTCAACATGGTGTAATAATCAGAAAAATTTAATCGTCATTATATTGGAAATTTTAGAATTATATTGATTAAATAACCAAAAACATTTGTTATGATTAATAATATAAATTTTATAAAATAATAAGTCTAATATTCCACAAAATAATAGTTTTAATTAAATAGATTAGACAACTGTACCAAATTGATATGGGAATACTTCAAATTTTATTGACAGTTCAGCGTGTGGCAAAAGTGTTACCGCTTTTTTAGAGTAAGAATTTTGTTTTTATGTTTTGATTTCTTACAGAATTTCATCAAAATATAATATGTATTAAAAAAGTGTATTTATAAATACATATTAAATTTAGATTAATAGCTTTAAAAACTAATTATTGTCGTGTATTGTAATTGTGCTATGCCAAAACAAATAAATAGTCTGTAGAAAGCTGACAAGCTTTCATATAAGATAGATTATTTTGAACAAGAAATAATGGCTTGACGTTTTTACTATTAAAGCCCTAAAAGAGGTAAATTTCAAATTTAGAATATATAATTTTGTATTAAAATATTTTCTTATGTATTTTAGTGTGTTGCAGTAGTCTTAAAACTAAGTGTATTTACTGTTAATATAATAGTTTGACAAATAGTTGACATTTTAAAAATTCCTCACATCTTCACTCATTTTTTTTTATTTATTTGTTAAATTGCTTTAACAAAAACAACTTTAATTATATCGGATACTGTTATAAAAAAAATAAGCACTAATGTCAGATGATAACTATAATGCCTGGAAGCAAAATAAAGTTGTTACATGATAAAAAAGCATTGCAAGACAAACGAATCGCATTTTATTTGTTCGAAATAGCGTCATTTGTTTGTCTCTCGCTAATGGACAAAATGCGTTTTGTTTGTCTATGTGATTTTTAAAGCCAAAAATATACGTGAAAAATTATGCTTAGAATTTCTAGGAGTGTGTAAATCAACAAAATTATGTTTTGACAAATCAAACGCCACCTCGAAGTCATAATGAAAAGATGGATAAAGTGCGATGTGAAAGTCTGTTCCACATATTATGTATGAACCATTTCCCTCAGACATAGTAATATCTACAATTAACAGTTTTTGGAAAATTTATGCAAATGTAATCCTAGATCATTGTTGCGGAGCACGCTTCAAATAACCTTGACAATAGTACAAGATATATACATATTTACCGCAATTTCATTCGGTATTTACGCATATACAAATTCATTACAAGCTCAAAATGTTATTGTAATAAAAATTTAGTATATTATGTTGATTTCTAACGGATTAAAGTTTCCTAATTATGAAATTTACTGGCTCCTTTTTTTCAATTGGTAAGTCATATTTTTTTATCTAGATATTTCTAAATAACCAAAGAGTTACTTAACACGTTGGCTGCCTCATGTTGTTGTTGTGTTTCATGTTGTTTTCAATAACAGCCTCGTGACACACCTTAGTTGTCTCGGTAGTAATTTTGCATTATAGCAGCGTGACCCTCAGTTGTTGTCTCAGTCTTATATAAGCTATAAGGGACTGAATAATTACAGCTTTAAATGTTTAAACCAGTTTTTAGTTTTTAGATCTGTAAACAATAAGTGGCTACGTAAAAAATTAAAACAAAAAATATTTAGAAAGAACCTGTTTATTAAGTGAAATACAACATATAAAAAAATGTTTGTCCTAAAAATCAGACAAAAAACATAAAACTATATAATAAAACTCACAAATTATTTGGTGCACTTATATACCTAAAAACAAACCAGACAAAAATATTTTTCAAATGACGTGCACTTTAGTTTTGTCCGCGGGGTTTCTTTTTGAGCTTCGGCTCTCCTAAATTCTTTTAATTCTTTCATAACAAAGGACGCATCGACGTCAGTTGTTGTACCAAGAAATGATGACGATTGTAAAAAACATTCGCGTTTGCTGATCAATGTCAAAACTTAAAAGACTGTTGACCATTTCCTTCTTGAATTTGGTTATGGACATTTTTTCATTGGCTACTAAAAAAAAAAAATTTGTTTAATTTACTGTTTGTATTTTGAGAACGATTTCCGAAGTGGAAATTGAAACGTCAATAAACGTATTTTTATATTTAATTGTGGCTTATTCCCAGTTTAATAATAATTAATTATGCTTCAGTATAATATACAATGCCACAAGAAAATAGCTTCAGAACAATATAAAGTGATGTTTTATAGTTGAGGTGTCATTTTATTCTTGAACAATTGACACACAATGTTATAGGTAGTAACTCTACTATTGTAGGATTTTATGGGAGTTTTACAGAAGAAAAGACAGTTTAAAATACAACTATTGAACATAGACATCTCTAGGAAACCTTACACGGTTTTTGCGAATACCCACCTGTATTATTTAGCACTTTAAATTTTTAGTGGTTACGCTTTAACTAGGTACATATATATCTTTTCAAAATGCTGTAATACCCAACTTTTTATATGTATAGATCAGAATAAAAATCAAATAATTAAACCATATGGTTTAATTATCTCAAAAAAGTTTAAAAAAAAATAAGATAAATTCCATCTTACCTCTTCAACTAGGCAATTGCACATTATTTTTCATCCTGATCTACTTAAGATAAATGAATTTGACGTTAAAATTCCTATTTAAAAAACACATTTTTAGATAAATTTAAAGTATATAAACTAGTTTTCGTTCCAATTTTATCAAGTTAACAAAATGAATACACAACTAATTTTATTGGCAGCTCGTAAGTATTTTTTTAATAAAAATGCTTATTTACTTTTATTTAATAGCACATATCTATCAACGTCTATTCTAAATGTTTTCAGTTTTATGTCTCCTTTTTATAGTAATTTAATAGATATCTTTGAAAACCACATTTTCTATTTTATTCTTTCATATTTCTGTTTCCCATTTTCTTTTACCTTCATTAGTTATTATTTTATATTATAACGAATGTTATTTTTGTAGAATTTTTAATAGTTTTTGTTGAATATATTCCGAATATAATTTTTCTGCTTGCTTTCTGTTTACAAGTCGCACTGTTCACGCTGTTTTTTTTTTCTGTTTAATCAGAATCTTTAGGCAATCTTTATTATTATTATTATACATTATATTTCTATTTTTTTCTCTTGATAATTTCGATTCAAGTATTTAATTATCTCGTTTACGTCCTCATGGAAGATTAAGGATCAGGTATGGGGCAGGCAGCATTTGTCTAGTCACCTTGTGTAGGATAAGAAATATATTCGGTATCTTAAGGAAAGTGTGTTATTATTTATTAACTCCTTCTATAACTACAGTTGATCTAAATATAAGATAAGAAGTGATTTTAGTGCCTTCATGCATAGAGTCTTTGAGCACAATAGTGGCCTAAGCCTGTAATATTTCATTCGGAAGAAATAGAGGACGAAGTTTTCTTTGTTTTTCGATCATTAATTTGAAGAGCTCAAACTGGATTTACTGTAATATTTTCTTTAATGTATTTGCATGTGGATTCTAAGGAATACTAAAATGAGTTTGTTTGCGTATTTTTACCGTAAATAAAAGTTTTATTGTGGGATGGGTTACTTTTGCATTTATCTGTTTTGAGACATTCTTAGAGAATAAATGGCCCATTCTCAAAGAAATAAAATTAAAAATAATTTTAAACCCAAACAGTTATTTATAAATTGTAACACTCAACAATTTTCCATTAAAAATAGGTAATAATTATTAGCTTCATCATAATTTTCTTCGTCTTCAAATAAGCCATCATCTTCAGCTTGTATGTTATGTGCAAAATTCAAATAAAAACTATGATTAACAGGAGGAATGTAATCAAGCAATGATAGCAGATCTTTGTATTTAGCTTCTTGTATAGTTTTTCCCCCATCAAAAAGTGAATTTAGTACAGCTAATAACTTAAAAGTTCCAGGTTTCTCCTTATTATAGCGAAGCCATTTCACTTCATTTTCCGCAATTTTACGATGAGTAAGAGCGGTTTCTACACCTTAAGTAAAAAAACAAATTGGCAGATTCTTATACGATGCTACCTCCTTTGCCATCCGAAAGTCCCCCATTCGCGGAAGCCTAATCGTAGCTAGGCAGTATCATCATCCTTGCTCTCTGGGAAGTGAGTTTTCAAGAGATTCCTTAGAGCCTCCTCGTCAGTGGAAGATAGACTTTCACTGGGAAGACGCACCTGATCCACCATGGAGTCGGATCTTTGAAGAAGGCATGATGAAGCTTAGCTGCAGCGGACATATGTTCCACACTGTTACAGTAGGCTCTTCAAGAGCTCCTCTTTGACGTCTTTACGAGAGACTTGTATTTCTCCTGAGCCTCCTTAAAAAAGTTCCAGTGGGCAGGCCGACCAGACCTTTTGGCTTTGAAGAGATCCTGAGTTAGCCTGCGTTGTCTTTCTACCTGAGGTGTTTACCAGGGAATAGCAGAACCAGCAGTCTCCTGGTCTACAAGAGGGCAGCTAGCTTCATATGCTGAGGTCAGGGCTCCGGATAAGTGATCCAAAGAAATCTCTAGGGTTGGGCTGTTATTGTGTTTTAAACTTAGCAATATTTATAGGCCGTTTCTGCTGCAAAGTGAAATTCTGAAAAATTGTGAGTTTGCGCTCACCGCACCGCCTCATATATACCCTGTAGTAATTAAATATGTCCTTTCAGTCATCTAACCACTAATTTATAGCGATTAATTATTATAGTATTAAAGAATAAAAATAAAAACACGTAATTTTATTATTGTTGTCAAATAGTTGTTTCGCAAATATCTTGGGGTGTGTATTTATCTGTTTACTATATATTTGTTGTCATTCGGTCTATATGATCGTTCCATTCTACTCTTCCATTTCTTACCCAGTCCTTGATTTTCTCCACCTTGCATCTATGTCGTATATCTGTACTTCTAGTTCTGTCTCATAGTGTCTTACTATCAATTTTGATTCAAAAGTGTTTTCATATCTATTGTGTTTTAATATTATAAGTGTTTTCATATTCTATCATTCTTTTTGTTCCCTCTGTAATAGGCCGTGTTTCTGCCGCGTCATTGTTAGTCTGGTAATTGTTTTGTAAATTTTTCCTTTCATTTCTTTCCCCATATTTTTATTTCTTCACATTGTTTCTCTGCTTGCTCTATTTACTTGATCTTCCACTTCTGTTTCGAGTAGCTGGATAATGTGATGCCTAAATATTTAACCTTCATCACTTGTTCTATTTTCTGACCTTTCAGCTATAATTTATATCTTAGTAAATATGCTGTTATAACTATGCATTTTGTCCTTTTTGGGTAAATTAACATATTAAATTTTTTGACGGTTATATTAAATCGGTGCACTATACGTTGTAAATCTTCTTGACTTTGAGAGAGTAGAATTGCATCGTCTGTATAGCAGCTTATTTTAAGTTGTTTTCTCCCATTTGGTATCTTTTTTTACTTCTTACTTTTTTATTATTTCATCCATGATCAGGTTGAATAATAGAGGACTCAGGGAATCTCCATGCCTTATCCCATTGCAAGCTTCATTTGGATCAGTTAGTTTTTCTTCTACTTTTACTTTTATTGTTTTGTTTTGGTAGATATTTTCGATCACTTTATTTAATACTAGATGTATCTCGCTTGCGTACAATAAGTGGATAATTTCCTTTTATTTGACATTGTCAAATGCCTTCTTAAGATCCGCGAAATATAGATAAGCCGGTTTTTTGTATTCTAATGATTTCTCTTGCACTTGCCTCATTATAAATATAGCGTCGGTGTATGATCTTCCCGTCCTAAAACCTTGTTATTCTTCTACTGGTTTTATAATTTCATTTAGTTTATTTGTTATCACTTTAGTTGTTCATTTTTTTGTTGTGTTTAATAAATTAATTCCTCTGTAATTTTCCGGGTCCGATTTGTCTATTTTTGAAGAGAGGTATTAGGATGCTTGATCCCCATTCTTGTGGTATTCTTTTAGTTCTATTAATTGTTATATTAGTTTTAACAGATTTTTAATTTTGGTATCCCTATATCGAAAATCGTTATTTGTCTGCTTTTACACGGCAATTTCTGTGAGATTAGCAAGATACTAATAAAGCTTGATACAGAACATCTTTTCTGATGCCAAACAATAGTTTGACGATATAGTCGTTGCTCACTTCATTGGGATACTGGTCGTGCAAGCGGTGCTTCACCCAAATTCACATTTTGATTCCTCTACATAGTTGGTTTGTGCGCGTTTTTTGTCGCTTCTGTTTAAGCGGTGTTGTGTTATCTACTGCGCAGATTGCCAGATTCTATACCATAATATACTTATATTATTATTATGTTAACCATATATTATGAAACATATTCATTCTTTTGACATACAAAAAACCTGTTGGTAGACAGAACTTCCGCTTCAGAACACAGCATATTTTATTACTATTCCATGCACTTGTTCAATTTTTCCATTCTGTTTCTTGAATTCCAATTTGAACTCATGAATAACTTCTCTCTCTCTCTCTCTCTCTCATCTAAGTTTTCATCGTGATGTCGTGTATTGTCCGTTTACAAAGATATCTGTCTCTGGTCATTTCTTTTAACTCATGGACAAGTCTTTTGCATATTCCTGAAACTTGGTCGATTAATCCTGTTGGGATCTTCCTCGTGATCTTCGATCTTCCAGCTCTCCTTGGATAATAAGTCTTTACATGCTTTCTGTATCTGCTCTCATAACATGTCCTAAGTATTTTAAATGTTGTAGATGGACTTTGCTTAAAAACCGTTTGCTTACCTTTAACTCATTTAAAATTCAAATATTTGTCCTGTGGTCGGTCCATGAAATTCGTAACATTATTTTTCAACAGAAAATTTCAGGGGCGTTTATTAGGCAAATTTTAGGGATAGTACTGAGAATATTAAGCAGTTAATCAACCTCTTTTTAGAGTTCGTGAAATTTGAGAATCCTTTCATATTTTGTCCATTTTCCATTTTCGTTTTATTTCTTCTTGTAGTGACCCTGAGTTTGTGATCAATGATCTCAGATATAAGTATGAGCTCACAACCCAAAACTGGTTAATCATAGTTGTATAAGGATGCTTGTCATGTAGTCATATATTTTTAACTGCAGAACAAATATTTGGGTTTCGTTTTCAACCAGCAATATGAGATCAATTATCTCTTCTTGACCATTTGCAAGAAGGGCTGTGTCATATGGAAAATGTAGGTTGTTTATTTTTCAGCCATTTATTGACATGCCCTTTTCCCATCCTTCAAGCGCTCTTTTTGTTATATGCTATATATATATATATATATATATATATATATATATATATATATATATATATATATATATATATATATATATAGAAATGATTTCAATATGTTAAAAAGGATACAACTTACATGGATTTTTATATGAGTTTGTTGTTCATGAATTTCATGAAGCCATCACAATGTGGGTTCGACTCTGAAATAAAAAATTAGTTTTAAAGAGAGAAAAAGAATAGTAAATTGTTAAATAAATTAATTTTGACTTACCTGGTATAGTGTTAATAATTTCTGAATAGTATAGTTGCCTAGTGTATAGGTGAATCGTCTAAACCTTAAAAAGAATAAAAAAGAAGAATTTTTAAAAAATATTTAAACATAGAAATTTTAAAAACGTCAGAAATAAACTGTCAAGCAAGTCTGTAGGAGCTAAATTAATAGGGGTTTTGTGAAATAAGAAATTACAATGATGTGGAGATGAAAAGAATAAATTATATTAATAGACTAAGTTTTATATCTAAACATTTTTTTATAAACTCCCAAATTAGATGTGATTATGAGAAAGTAATGTGGCTTGACAAATATGTCAAACAGGACAGTTTTATAGTTTAAAATATTTAAATAGATGACAGAAAAAAAAAAAGAACGTTGGTTGCTGTTAGCAACGGATAATAATTGGTTTTTTGGAGAAGGCCGACGAGGATTTTTGGACGAAGGAGAGCCCTGAAACTGTGGAATAAATCGGGAGTGTTTTTTAACTCGTCTAATTAGAATTTAGTTTTTCCACAGTTTCCACATCAGAGATATCCAGAATTTGTTCCAGAGAGTAAGAGAAACAATTTTACTTATAAATTATATTGGAGTACAGAAATGTCATTTAAATTGAGAAAATTAAAATTCATGAATTAACATAATTGCGATAGGCCTTAAAAATTGAAAATATTAATGATCATTAAATTAAAAATAGAATAGTACGTACCTTAACTTCCGAAGAGAGGATTGATATTCCAGTTTCACCGATTATTTTGCGAGTAGTTAGTTTTCTTTAAAGAAATCAGAACTGTTTTAAAGTGAGGTTTAATAATAATTTTGGGGATCATTTGAAATTTTGATTATATTTGAATGCGGAATGCGGGAAGTTTAAAGTCAGCGAAGTAAAGTGTTCAGTTTCTTTTTCTTTATAGTTCATTTAAACACTTTATAAAGTTGCAATATTTATTTAGTTTTTAGGTACTTGTAGAGAGTCTCCACATTTTGTAATAAATTTTTATTGTCACGACACTAAACCACATTAAGATCTACACGATTCCTATTTTTGTAAATTTTTAAGGGCAACCCAAGTTGCAGACGAATTTTATTGTTTATATTAAATTTGTTCAATATTAATAAATAACGTGCTGCATTTGGGTTAATTTATCAAAAGTCTAAAGTAAATTTTGGTTTAATTTCTTTTTGAACTCTACCAGGAGACTACAGAGTCGACGTCACACAGTGACAGATTGCTTGGAACACATAATTGAGCTAGCTGAGGTATATATTAAATTAAACAACGAACCTAATATTTTAAAAATTACAACATTTATTATAAATAAAAATAAAATTAATAAAATACAACTTTTTCATATATATATATATATATATATATATATATATATATATATATATATATATATATATATATATATATATATATATATTAAATAATTGTGTCTGATGTATGTCGAATGCTTTGCGATAATATAATCCATAAAACAAATTTATAGTCGAATATCTAATTCCCTATATTTTTCTATTAGTTGTCTTATATTCAGAAGGTGTTCTCGAATGCCTCTGCCTTTGGTAAATTCAGTTTGCTCTTGGGATATTTCTCTTTGTAGGAAAGTTTTGAGTCTCTCATTGATTAGCATTGATTAGGTGTTGCATTATTTTTCTGGCATGTGAGATAATGTATTGAAATGCTATTTATTACAGAAAAAGAAGAGCAATTGTATACGAGTTTCTTCTGTAACTTTGAGCATTTTTGCTGTTATCAAATCTGGACCTGGTTGCTTTGTTATATTTGAGTTTACTGATCACCAGCCTTATTTCATTCTTGAGTGTATTAGGTTCTTCTTCTATTACTTCACGGGTTTGGTAAACAAGTTTCTAGCGTTGATCAGCTTTACATAGATCCTGGCAATATAATCTTCATGTCTCCGGTAATATTAGATAGAACCCTGTTAATATTTTTGGATTTATAACATTACCAATCATATTTTTCACTTCTGATATCGTGAAACGTTTAATAGGTAAGTTTAGTTTATTGAGCTTCTAAAAACTTTCACAGAAAGGGGTGTTAGGTTCTAAATAGTGCAAAAAAAATTGATTGGATGGTTACTAAAAGCTGCTGCCTTTTTTATTGTTCCTAGCTCATTTTTCCTGCATATATTGTATTGGGGTACAGTGTCATTAAGGTAATCTTAATTTGTTATTGCCTTCCAAAGTAATTAGTCCGTATCTTCTAGGCCGTAAGTGAACATAAATAATATATGATGTCTTTGTTTTTAATATAATTTATTAACTTTGTTAGATCTTCGTTGGATCTCGGTAATTTTGGTTTTTTGTCGTTTACCCTTAAATATTTCTTCTCGTTTTGGCATTGAGTATATTTGACATATAGTTTAGTTTCCGCCAGCTTTATATATGTTTAATAAAGATCTAAGATGCTTGCAATAGTTTTGATGCTTGCACATAACATCTGTCGAGTTAATACTTAAGTAATATTTTTATTTTAAAAATCCCCTTGTAAATCAGTGTATCGAATCTCCGGCTAAGGGCTGGTGAATGCACTTAATTTTAATGACTTTCGTCTGAGAATGTAGGGTATCGAATATCATATATTATAAGAATATATACAATTTGTTTAGAGTTAGGTTTAGTCGAATTTATACCACCGACCGAAGGAAACTGAATAAAACTTTTAAAGTCACATTTGTGTATTTTAATACGAAAGTAATTTTTGTAATAGAAATTTAATTTTGTATTTTTTCGAACCAGGAGTCTCTTGCGATAATTAATCGTAAGACATTCCAAACGTAATAACATCTTTTATATACCTGGTAAACCCTTTAAATCGTTTTTGGATAATTTCAGTTCAGTTCAAAATTTGGTAGCTTTTTAAAGTCATGAAGATCAAAAACTCTAACAAATGTTATCGTCACTAAAAAAATATACATTAATTCTTAAAAGAAATTCCTTTGCAGTTCTAGCAGTTACTCTGGCATACAGCCCAGAGATCAAGAAGATCGTAGGAGGTAAAAGCGGTTATGGTACTACAACCCGTTACTGGGATTGTTGCAAACCATCATGTGCCTGGAAAGAAAATATCAAAACACCAGACATGAAGCCAATTGCTACTTGCGCTAAAGATGGTGTAACCGTTGTCAATGCATCTGTTCAGTCAGGTATGGATATCTTAGATATATTTGTTAGTGGGGAGAAATTGGTGACAAAAGATTTACCAATTACCATAAGTATAATATATTTAAAAAACTCGAACATCAAAGTAAACTTATGTTAAACACTTATGTTGTAATTACCTAGTATATTTAAATAAAATTAAATTTAAGAATTTAAAAGGACTAAGTTTAAAACGTTTTCGGACTAAACAGTCCATCTTCAGTGCAAAATAACCTCAAAACCAAACAGTAGTTCGGTTTAATGGATTAAACCATACTTGAAATTATTTAATTATCTGGCAGTATGGCGATGAACTTACATTGCCTACAGGGAACATAAGTCTCTAGTCGAAAGAGTTTTCTACCTCCGAACTGTAGGAGTTGGCATTTAGTATTCCTACAGTTTGGATGTAGAAAACTCTTTCGAGTTTGTTTCGAAATTGTTGTACAAATGCGAAATAGTAATTTTTTTTCAAGAAAAGTTCAAGACTGTAATATTTTATTTGATGAACAGTTAAATGAGTGTTAAATTAAACTAAAAATAAAATACTAAAAATATAAAATTTATTTGAGAACTACTACGTTAGATGACATGTTAAATTTGTAATTTTTTGATTAATATAGCACAAGGCAAAAATATTACATTACATAATTTTGATATTATTTTCTGTAGGATGTATCGGTGGAACGTCTTATATGTGCAATAATCAACAACCCTTCGTTGTAAATGAAACTCTTGGATATGGTTTTGCGGCAGTTTCTTTCTCCGGTGGCGTTGATAACAACTTGTGTTGCTCTTGTTATTTGCTCACCTTCCAAGATCAAATACCCAACAAAAAGCTGATTTTGCAGGTAAGTTATAGCTATGCAACTATGGTACTAAGAAAGGAAATTTTTTATTACGAGTCTGTTACAGACCAAGCCATGTTTTGCTCCCTTTTGCACTAGTGATTTTTGTCATTCCAGTTATTGACCTAATTCTCACACTTCCATTGATTCTTGGACACCCTTGTTTCCTCCTTCCAACAAGAGCCGATACATTCTATTCGTTCATCCACTCTCTGCCCTTCTCTGGAGATGTCCATACCACATAAGCTGCTTCCTATTAATGGTATCGTTAATATTGCCTTCTACTTGCATCTTTCGTCTGATTTCATTATTTGTGGCTTATTTAAATCAATTGTGGCTTATTCCCATTTAAATAGTAATTAGTTTAAAATGCCACAAGAAAATAGCTTCAGACTTTTAATGTCTCTTGTAATTTTATCATTCGATAAAGAATACTTTAAACAAAGTAGAAGCAATCCTGGTTTTAGGCCTTTTGAGACTTAAAATGGCGAAGTTAATTTTGCACCCATCTTTATGCTTATAAACATATCTTCTTATCAAAATATATACAGGGTGGTCCTTAATTAATTGTACAATAAGAAACCGTAGATTCTACACTTTAAAATATTACGATTTAAACGAAATTTCTTTAATAAAATGTTGATAAGAAATATACAGAGTGTTAAAGTGGAAATTTAAAATTTTAATTTTCGCTATAACTTTCATTTTTGTAAACATTTATGTATAAAAATTTATAATTGGTTACTATTGAACATTAGGAATTATAATTTGATGCATACTTTAATGTAGCTGATAGAGGGCGCCACATATGCCACGCATGTGGCATACATTTGCACTTAACTTTTTTGCTATTTAAGTTACCGGTATTTGTGATACAAATATTAAAGATACATTATTTAAGCAAGAAAAAGGTATAGTTGTTAATAACTTCAAAACTTAACAGTTTTCGAGATAATCGCATTTTAGAAATCAACTACATAATTCTGACTACTCCAGGCAACGAGAGAAAATTAGGCAAAAACATCAATACTTCTGAATTTTGGTATACAATACCTTTAATAAAGTTAATAGTTAACGAAATATTAAATAAAATAAATATATCAGCAGGATAGTTAATAGTAGGATTTGACAAAATAACAGAATAATTGGATTTTATATAAAACATTTTACTTTTGTATTAAATTAAAATCATAATCAAAATATTTTATTTACAAACCAAATTAAGAAACAGCTGAACTAAATAACATTAAACTTTTTGTCAAAGTAAGTTCTCAAGTTCTCTTCAATTCATTTGTTAGTATATTCCATAAAAGAACATATCATATTAAATAGCATCATTGGTTCTAAAGAAACTGTTGCGGTATTTATTAGTATTTATTATAAGTATTATAAGTATAATAATAAGTATTCATTTGGGATTTTTATGCAGTAAGTAATTATATTAATATCTCACCACATGGCCAAGGATAATGAGTGACTACCACAAACAATCCAACATTCAGGAAAGTTATATTTAAGTCAGTGGCCCACCCAGGGGGGGTTTTGGGGTTAAACCCTCAGTACCCTATTCCGACACTGTTATTCACAAATTTTAAGGACTTAAAATGGTGGAGGTAGCATAAAAAATTTCGGTTCCCAACCAAACCCCCCCCCCCCAGAGGAAAATTCTAGGTGCGCTACTGATTTAAGTATGTTCTCACTGCCCTCTCTCTATAATGTGTTGGTGTACCATCTTGCATAAACCTAATATTTTGCCTTAAGTTTGATGACAATTCTTTCAATAAATCAATAAAATCATTTTATAAAAAATGTAAATAAATCTCACCATTCAAATTACAAGGTAATTCGCATGCCCGTAAAAAATAATTACCAATGGTTCCAAACCATATGTTTATTTAAAATTTATGTTTAAAATGCATATGGTATGGTTTGGTACTATTTGTAATTATTTTTTAAGGACATGCGAATTATCTTGTAATTTGAATGGTGAGATTTATTTACATTTTTTATAAAATGATTTTATTGATTTATTGGAAGAATTGTCATTAAATTTAGTGCGAAATATGTAGTTTATGCAAGATGGTACACCACCACATTATAGAGAGAGGGCAGTTAAAACATAATTAAATACAACTTTCCAGAACCTTGGATTGTTCGTGGTAGTCATATTCCTTGGTCGTGTGGTGAGATATTAAGATAATGATTTAATTCATAAAAATACCAAACGAATACTTTATTATTATATTATATATTATACTTAGAATACTTATTAGGTATAAATACTGCAGTAGTTTCTTTAGAACCAATGATGCTATTTAATATAAGCCGATCTTTTTGAATGTATTGACAAATGAATTAAAGAAAATGCTGGACATATCGAACACTTACTTTGACAAAAAGTTTAATATTATTTAGTTTAACTATTTCTTAATTTGGTTTATAATTAAAATATTTTGATTATGACTTTAATTTAATACAAAACGTAAACTGTTTTATATAAAATCCAATTATTCTGTTATTTTGTCAAATCCTACTATTAACTATCCTGCTGATATATTTATTTTATTTAATATTTCGTTAACTATTAACTTTATTAAAGGCATTTTATACCAAAATTCAGAAGTATTTATGTTTTTGTCTAATTTTTTCTCGTTGCCTGGAGTAATAATTGCGTTAAGTCAGAATTATGCAGTTGATTTCTAAAATGCGATTATCTCGAAAACTGCTGAGTTTTGAAGTTATTAACAAGTATACCTTTTTCTTGTTAAAATAATGTATCTTTAATATTTTTATCACAAACACCGGTAACTTAAAGAGCAAAAAAGTTAAGTGCAAATGTATGCCACATATGTGGCATATGTGGCGCCCTCTATCAGCTACATTAAAGTATGTATCAAATTATAATTCCTGATGTTCAATAGTACCTAGTTATGAATTTTTATACACAAATGTTCACACACATTAAAGTTATAGCTAGAATTAAAATTTGAAATTTCCACTTTAACACCCTGTATCTTTCTTAATATCAACATTTTATTATAGAAATTTGGCTTAAATCGTAATATTTTAAAGTATAGAATCTACGGTTTCTTTTTGTACAATTAAGGACCACTCTATATACATATATACATCTCTTCGTATCAAGGTATATATGTATTTTACACAGCTTTTTTGGTATCCATGCTCAATTTTGTTTGTTTGTTAGATTTGTTGTAATAGAGTGGCTACTTAAAAATAAAACATAGTGGTTTAAGTACAATATATAGCACATGATTTACTATGTTTCTTTCCATAAAAAAAACATTATTTCTAATCAAATTTCATATGTTATCAATAGCACTTCTTATATCTTCCTTTTGGTATCTGCTTAGTAGCATGTCTAGTAGACGTTAACATTCGCTGAAAGCCAAAAGAAACAATATTGTATTCGAACTCAAATAGATGATACTTTTTTTTTTCCTCTTTATAGAGGGGGGGTCTGGAATCTTCAAAAGACATCTCAGTCCAGGACGCCGCCGCCTGACTGACCTTAGTGCAGGATTCGTTCTTCGTACTCCCGGCGATAGTTCCCGAGGTACTTTAAAATGCCCTCTCGTCGCCGAGTCTACGCTGAACGCCTACCTGCTAAACCAGACCCTCCTCTGTCATCCAGCGATCCGGAAGCGGAATGGCCGCTGTAAGGCCGGCATCACTTCCGAAGCACTACCTTTATTCATTCATTCTCCATTCATACACATCCACACTCCTAGTTCGGCATCATTCTCAGAAGGGCATTTCCTCCTTCCCCACAGTCAAACTCACGCATTCTAACTCAAAAAGTGTGACCCATTGTTTTAACTACACCTTTCAGCATCATTCACTCTACCTTTGCCGTTGGTCCAGCTGTCTTTCTTCCTCTTCCTTTTTTTTGAAATAGAAGATACTGCTTTGAATGAGTATCTGGTTCACGAAATACTTGTTAAAATTCAAACATACCTAAACATACGAAGTCTATCGGAGTTTTCTGACGAAGGAAATTAAATCTTCCCATGTCTTAAATGAAAGGTTTCAATCAATGTGCTCTGTAAGAACAGTGGCTTTTTAGAGAGCTATGGAAGCATTCAAGGGAGACTTCATGATAATTATAATGTTAACGTAAATTTTGATGCAAGATAATGAATGATTTCTTGAAAAAAAAAAATAATAAAACTACAGATTTTTTGTAGACAAATACCAATTATTTATGTAAAAATATAAAATATAATGAGTTGAGTGATTTTAAGCTCGTAAATATTTGAAATATCTCAGACGCATCAACAGATGCGAAATTTAATTTTTTTTTATTATCAATTTATTTTCAATATCTATTCAATATTTATTATCAATAAAAATTGCATTTTCTTTGGTTCTAATCAACGAAAATTGATGTTTTTTTTTAATTTAGGGTACTTCGTTGCAGAGATTATAAAATTAAATTAGTTAATTTGTGAATTGTTTATTGAACCAAGTAATTTGTTTAAACAAGATGAAATAAATATTTCTTTTGCAAAATTTTATTTTTTTTTATTATTATAGAAAAGATTATGAAAAGAGAGGTAACTTTAATATTTATTTATTTTAGTTATTAATAATAACTTTTAAAAATAAATTTAAAAATAATTAATTTTTTATTTGAAACTATAGGTACGTCTTATTTTTTTTAATTATGCTTATTATTTTAACAATTATTTTTCTTGGCTGAAAAATATTATATAAGTATATTTTAAACAAATTGATTGTTATAAACTTCATGTAGGTATATTCTTGTATAATTATAAATAAAAATAGTCAAATTGTAAATTGTAATATGTTAATTATATATACAGATTAATTCCATAATTTTTATTTACATACAAAGTTTATAACAATCAATTTGTGTCAAATATAGTTTTTAATGTTTTCGAGAAACAGTAATTGTAAAAATAATAGGCATAACTAAAAAAATATTAACACGTATTTGAGTTTTAAAAAAATTAATTTTTGTTAAGTTTATTGGTGAAAGCAATATTTTGTTATATTTAAATGGTTTATATTGAATGTTTTGCAAAATAAATATTTATTTTAAATTATTTAAATAAATTACTCGAGTAAATAAACAATTCACAAATTAACTAAAAGTATTTTTATCATCTATGCCACATGGTACCCAAATTAAAAAAAAAAACATCAATTTTCGATTAAAACCGAACATATTGCGACTTTTAGAAATTTGAATTTATGAATTCAGTTTTTGAAATAGTAAAATCGTTTCGTTTTTAAACCCTTTATCTTTGGCGCTTCATGGATGGCTCATCTTTAAATGAATCGTTTTTAACTTGTTTCTGTCTAAACTTGAACTTTTAATCTCTCAAATGGTTCTTTATAAATTGCTTATTGTTTATAGAGAAACCTCCGGTAAATTAAAAAAAAATAGGGCTCACTCGGGTTTTAAGGGTTGTAGGACGTTTTTTTTTTTTAATTCTTGTAGAAATGCCAACATAACTAATAAAAACAAATTAATGTTCTACATGTTAAAGCGTTTGAGTTATTTTAATTGTTTATAAGCTTAAAATTACAGTACTTCTGCATATTTCTTCAATCTGGTGCTTTCAGTATTCATGTAAACCCAATAGTTTACACATAATAACGTTGTAGATAAAACCTTTTTGGGATAAACAATTTCAATTGTTCAATAACTATTAAGTAAAACTTCTTGAACATTTTTAAAGTTGAATATTTGTAAGATTGTTTTTAAAATCAAAGTTTTTTCTTTAGTTCTCTGGTCTATTAAGCTGATTTATAGATTCCTCGCAAAATACGTAGTAAAGGTCGCGGCATATTATCATGTACGTATAATTTATGGCACGTACCGTTTCCAGTCCAGCAGTAGAACTACACGTTCACATTTTCATGCATAGAACGTTTCTGTTTTGTTCAGTAAAGATATGATCTCGATTTTCACGACAAAAATTATGTACAATTGCTCTTCTACTTAACGATGAAGAAAGAAACACTGTAGTAAAAAGAAGGTTTGAAGTACATCCAATGCTAGTAAAAAGGGAAAAGGAAAGTGAATACTGGACTTTATACAAAGAATTAATTGATGACAATGAAAACTATTATGAATATTTTAAAATAAATAGGATTTAGTTTAAATATATTATAAATTTAATTACACCCTTAGTTAAAAAAGCAAAATACTACAATAACGAGGCCATATATATCAAACCAAAGAGTGTTTTTTAAAAAAGAAGAGGTATCACTTCCGTGCAAAAGTCCTAATTGTTTATCACTTCCGTGATTAATTGGCACAAAGCAATAAAAACACATGCATAAATTGACAAAATAGCCTCGAAAATTATTTTTTTACATATTCTGTATCAAAATCAAACAAATACCTAAATAAACAACAAGGAGAAAACGACGAACCCCTAATTTACATTATCCGTACCAATATGTTTCGACTCGTTCCGTAGCCGTCGGCCTCCGTAATATAATGTAGTCGAATATACTGAACGGTGGGTGTCTGATACGATACGTTCCTGACAGTGTGAGTTGTTCATATTTAAAAACACTTAAAATATATTTTTCGGAAACTAAACGCTACGTGCTGCAAACGCAACGTGCATGATAATATGCCGCGACCTTATCGCCAAAAATCCAGTATAAATATTAATTATCTTATAAAATACAGATGTTGACATAAGTAATCAAGATTTTTTTAAAGTAGAACCTGTAATTGTTTAATCATAATTTACATCTTTTTGTTATTTCCAGTTTACAAACACTGGTGGAGACCTTGGTTCAAACCAATTTGACATTGCCCTTCCTGGAGGTGGCGTTGGAGCATTCAATCAAGGATGTCACGACCAATGGAATGCTCCATGGACTGGCTGGGGGCAGCAATATGGAGGAATTTCATCAAGAGAAGAATGTCTTTCGCTCCTTCCTAAAGAATTGCAATCTGGATGTCTCTTCCGATTTGACTTTATGCAAAATGCTAACAATCCTCAAATGTATTTCGAACAAGTTGAATGTCCTGCCGAACTCGTCAAAATTAGTGGATGCACTCTTCCTCTTTAAATACTTATTTTTTAATTTTTTATAATAAATATCTTAAACCTCGTTTTAGATGTTTTTGTAAATTTATACTTTATACCTTCCATCTTATACAACAAAATTATTTTTTAACGGCAGTCCACAATACTGTAACAAAATTCATATCCTTTCAAATTTCGTTTCTCTATTCCAAAATGATTCGTGTAATTGAATAGATTTACAGAACAAAGAAGCATTTTAAATAATATTTAAAATTATTTTATAGAGTTAATCACTTCTAATTTTTAATAGGGCACCTTGCCTATAGGATGTTAGTAAATGTTTGACTAAATTAGACGGAAGTAAACTATTTAAACGGAGGCCCACATAAAATAAAAATATTCTCTAGGAGGGCCAAGAAAATTCATAAAACTAGTTTTTACTAGTCACAAACTTTATATTTTTTTAAGTAAACATCAAGCATATCTTATGTGCATAAATGGTAAAAAACAATGAAAAAGTTTCATAAATACATTATTCTTTAGCAGAGTATAAAGGTGTATGTGACATATGAAACTGAGACTGAGCTTCTAAAAGTTGTTAATTATCTGGCAGAAACTGGGATGAGCTGATTCGCAGTAGCGAAGCTAAGTGCTGGCCCGTCAGTCGGTTTCTAGTGATGTTTTTGCGAAGCTTCATAACAAAAAACACCTGTTTACAGATGTGGAAAGATGCGAGCATCGCAATTATCTTCTAAGCATGAGATTTCAGGTTTGAAAAACTTGAAGTACCTAATGAAGAAGTACCTAATACAAAAAAAAAATGTGCTGATTTCGTCATGTCATGTACATCGAATTTCTTGTGCTGAAAGTCATGTTATGTACATTTAATGAGCAATAATATGTGGGCGGTAATTCTATTTCACCGATAATCGAACGATTCTCTGGCACTCAAATGACGAATTGACAAAATTTGAAAATAGCGTAACTCTGAATTCGCGGAAGTCGGGGCAGCATTAGTCGAGGTATTACTGTATTCAGAATTGTTGATTGACCCCGTGACCCCTCCGTGGATCCGCCACTGATATTTTCGATTAAGAAAGTATTCAAATGGCAAATAATTAAAACATATAACCAACTAGGAATATTGATTTTATAAAGAATAGAAATATTTATTAAATGAACAAAATTAAAGAGTAACGAAATAAATACATATAAAGTATAGCAAATAAGTCGAAATAATATTTATTTTCTTTATTTTCTGAGATGAATTACTTATTAACTCTAACAATTCACTGTATATCTAAAACATGATTGCAAATTTTGATCTGTTATTGACATTTGGCGTGCAGAAACCTTTTTTCTTACATGAAAATTTCTTACATGAAAAAAGGGTGAATGTAAAATGTAAAAACTTCAGAATAACTAAGAAAAACCTTAAAATATCATCAAGAGAATTAATGCCCTAGTGTATAGAATTCAGAAAACACCAAAGTCTTATTTGACGACGGGTGATGACCCTATTCGCAATGAACAGATGTGAGGAGGGTGACAAGAATTGTTGTATGAAATAAAGTAAAATTCGATCGAGCCACGGACATCATGTAATAGAGCTTCAAGTAAAAACAGTATTGTAGGAAAACCACAATACAATGCAATTTGTCACTCTATTATTGCTAGTTTACTAGTACATTCTGAATTATTATAAAAGCTCTTCTAGTCATTTTCCTCTTAAGAATATTGGTTTGTTATGGTGGTAGAAATTGAAGAGATGACTTTCTTTTGTGTTTCTAGTATAGTTTCACAAAAATAAACTCCATAGTTTTTTTTTAGTTTTTGTACATATATAATTTGGAATCTACCCAATGACACCTTGTCACATTAATAATGATTGAACTATGGAATATTCAAATAATTCCTTGCTTATCATATTTGTTTTTAAGATTTATAATTATTTAAAGAGATAAACTCTTTTGGCATATTCTCTTAAGTAGGTCTTAAAGCTAATTATAAAAAAATTACAAAATATTTACTCAAAAATAAAAAGCCTATAGATTCCTCTATATAATATCACTTCAGGATTACATTGACTTTAAAGAATTTACCGGAAATGCGAGGAACAAATTGCGCCAAATGAGTTTTAATTTGTGAATGCCGTTGGTGGGAAGCTTTATTTAGCATGCAGGTATTGTTTCAGAAATGTAGAGATGTCAGCTGTAATGTTTTTGCATGCCTGATTGACTACAAGAGGCTTTCGGTAGAGTCAGGCATAAACAAATGATGGAGATGCTGAAGAGGATAGGGATTGAGGAAGAGACTTAAAAATAATAGCTAATCTGTATTGGAATCAATCAGCGGTGCTTCGAATAGATGGAGAATATACAAATTAGATAAAAATCCTAAGAAAAGTGAGAAAGGGGTGCATAATTTCACCACTCATATTCAATTTGTACTCGGAGCACATTTTTTAAGAGGCTCTAAAAGATATTGATGAAGGCATCTCAATAAATGGAGTCAAAAGCTTAATACCCTGCGGTATGCAGATGATACAATAGTGATTTCTAATACCATAAAAGGGCTGCAAAACTTAATGAACAAAATAACGGAAACAAGTAGGAACATATGGACTGGATATAAACACCAGCAAAACCAAGCTAATGATCATCAGCAAGGAAAACATAACTGGAGCAGATATGTATGTGAACCAAATAAGAAATGAACGTGCCTCACAGTACAACTTCTTGGGAACTATAATCAATGAGTCGTGGGACAATCCCCAAGAGACTAAATGTCGCATCGCAAAGGCAAAAAGTGCATTCTTGACTATGAGCTCTGTGTTCAAGAGCCATGACCTTACCCTAGAAACAAAAATAAGGCTCCTTAAATGTTACGTGTACTCAGTGCTTCGGTACGGAGTAGAAACGTGGACATTGAAGGCAGAAACTTTACCAAAACTTCAGGTTTTTGAGCTATACAGAAGGATCCTAAAGATACCATGGACAGACAAAGTCACCAATGAAGAAGTACTGCGAGGGATGAACACAACTGCGGATTTGTTCAACATCGTGAAGGGCCATAAGCTGCAGTAGTTGGGACATTTAATGAGAAATCAAGGCAGATACGAGCTACTTTAATGGATTTTACAAGGTAAAATTAAAGGAAAAAGGGCCCCAGGACGAAGAAGAATATCCTGGCTTGCTAACCTGAGAGCATGGTATATAAGACCTCAACACAGCTATTCCATATAGCAACCAACAAAGTCATCATAGTCAGAATGGTCGCCAACGTTTGGAACGAACATGCATCCTAAGAAGAAGAAGGATTACCTAGCAGTAATCGACAAAATAAACATTACCGAAATTAACATAAATTTTTAGACGATTTTAGACAGTCAAGGATGCTTTTTAGACGGAATATTAATGCCTCTAAAAAGGACATACTGTGTATCAAACCGAGTATCAGTAAGAAATTACTCGTAGAATATTTTAATTTAATTATGGTATCCTAATTATAGCTTTCTTCGTATTTCGTATAGTATATATCTATAATATTTCGTATTTCCGAATTAGAACAAGAGCTCTCAAATATCAACCTACTTGATCGGTGTGAAACTCAATAATCAGAAGAAGCGTATACCATCTTAAAATCTGGTCTCGAGCTATAGCAGAAAAACTCCGTAGAAAATCATCACGTTGCCAATAATTTTCTCATCTGTTTATACTAGTACTCGCATTAATTAATACTCTTTTTATGTTTAAAACATTTTGGCGTTTCTTTTCTTAGCTAGCTTTCTGCGTGGCTGTGGTAGTTGTAAATTTGGAGTGAAGGGTCCTCTGACAGTACTGCTACAATTGGTCGAATGGCTCCTGTAGGTAATTTCTCAAGTAAATTTGCTCCTCTTCCATCTTTACTGCACACAAAGTGCAATCTTCTTATATTTAAAAACTAAATCCGAAAAAACTTTCTTCTTGGTTTTAGAAAACTTTTAAACTCTTTACTCACCAACTTATCCACTTAAAGTTACTATAATCTGGAGATTTTTGTATTGCCAACGAAGATCAAGGCGTAGAACGCAAACTGAAAGCGAACGTGAACTGGCAGTGAGAATCGTATTTCTCAAAGTAGCCGAAGTTCAACTTAATCTCATTTAGAACCATAGTCAATTAAACCACAGATGAACTTAGTTTACAACCTTCCATAGAGGTATTAATCAGCCAATGAACAAGCATAATTGCTTATCAAGAGAAAGAAGAAGAGGTAGATAAACTTAATTATGAGAAATTGGTCCGAGAGTAGTATACTTTGAACAAATATGTAATACAAGAGGTAAAACAACAAATAATTAAAGCGAATATCTGAGTGTTTGAAATATCCAATTTGGAGAAATCGGAAGAAGATAGAACAAAACACAAATTACACAACCAAGACAGTACCATTTTACGAACGATTTAAAGGCTACCGTATTATATCAATCAAATCACCTTGGCACCAATAGAATATACCAGATACCTCCCTGGACAGTTTCTTTACCAATAGTAGACCTCTCCCTTACTTAATTATGATAAGCATTCGCACACTTCTAATGAAGTCAAGCTTCAGTATCATGAAAATTTACTCAAATATTCGACTTACCAATTGTTCTTCACCTTTGCCTCCAAAGAATGCAAGGGAGTAGCAGCTGCTACTGTATCAGAAAATGTAATTTCTGCCACTAGATTAACTGACGGCTGTAATATTTATACCGCAAAGCTCCAAACAATACTTGACGCACTAGTCAAGTTCCTTACAGGTCATTAAACATGTTTATCCTACACAGATTAATCTATTTATAATTAAAAACGCGTCGCAACAGCTCCAATTTACTAGGAAAACAATATCATTTATGTGGGTCCCATCCTTTGTCGGAGTAAGTGGTAATGAGCTAGCAGACAAAACAGCGTTTGAAGCAATAAACAATGTGAACATTCCGACTACAACAGGTATACCAATATCCGATGCTAAAACTTCATTCAAGACTCACGTAAACAAAATCTAGCAAGAGATATAGGATCAAACAAACACAATTTTTAAACGCATCAAACCAGACGT